AGGGGGTGCCCAGCCCCACCCGGGGCGGGTCTCGGGGTTCTCTGCATCCCTCCCCTTTCTTTAAAAGCGCCCCGGAAACGCCGCAGTTTCGCCGGGAAGGGGTCACTCAAGTTCAGTAAGTGTTTGCGATTTCCCCGATGCTGCTGTCAACAGCTTGTCCTTACCCTGTTGGTGGAACAGTAACCTGATTTAAAAACCACCAAACAAAAACCTTTTCTAGAAGGCCAGTTTGGAAATGTGGATGAAAATTCAAATGCATTATCTTTGGCCCAGGAATTCCACGTCTGCGAATTTGTCCTAACAGTCAAATGTGCGAATATGTATGTACGAGGATGTTTGTTATGGTTGTTTATGCCAAGGAAAATAACCCGGAAATAATTTTCCCCCGATAAAGGATGAGTGAAGTAAACTACAGTAACTTCAAACAGTCGGATATACTGTACGCATTAAAAATGATAACTGTACGTCCAGTTTGTTAACATGGAAGGCAGGCAGGCCACAGCTAAGTATTAAGGTGAGGGCGGGGGAAGCTTACAAAAGTGTGTGTAGAGTGTAAACCTATTCTTGTAATTATATATGTATATTTATATTTTACATAAAAGGGAAAACTCAATTTTAAAAAGTGATTTTTTTCTGAGGTCTGCAGTTGTGAGTGTTCGCAAAGTGTATAGCAGGTGTGGCAGGTGTGTTTTGGTGTTCCCTGGACACAAACACCATGCCTGTGACTTCTGTGTTCGCCTAGGCACAGCAAGTACCTTTGCCACACCTTCTCCTCCCTGCCCTGCTGACCCACAGAAACCGGATGACATTCCTTTTTAAAGGTCTGGTTTCCTTTTCTCCTTGGACCCAAAACACACCGTTCCAGTAAGAGGATATCAACCAAGCAACACTGTTAACAGGTTTTGTTGCTGACTGTAATTATGCTTTTTTACTCAAATGTTGCTGCTTCTCAGTCCACCAGGTTTATTTCAAAACTTTCATTTGTTTGCAATGTAAAACTGTTTTATTTATTTAAAAAATTCCAGAGTAGTTAAGACATAGAAAACTAGAGAATAAAATAACAAATACTTATTTCTGTAAAAAAATTTAATGAATGATATAACAAAATGTAGATGTAGTAAAATTTTTTTTGGCCATATTTATTTTGGAATCTTCTTTTAAAAGAAGAAAGTTACAGATATGCTTGAAGCCCTGTTCCTTCTATTCTCCAGTTTCTCTGGAAGAAATTAGTGTCCTGAGCTTGTTGTCCATCCTTCCCACTCATATTTCTACTTTACTGCACATCTCCTTATCCATAAACACTATATAGAATTATTTTTCAGTGTTTTAAAATGTTATAAATAACATCCTGTACACTTGTTTACTCAACACTGTATCTTTGAGAACCATTCACATTCACACGTGTAGCTCTAACATGTTCATTTTAAAGTCTTCGTGGGATTCCACTGTATGAATGTGCCACAATCTATCCATTCCCCAAGTGATGGGTATTTAGTGTGTTTCACGTTTCACTGTTGCATGGTATTAGATGTGCGGAATGCCAACAGAGTGCTATATAGTATATTGCATATAATGCTGCCATGGCCATCTGTGTGTATGTTTTCTTGTATTCCAGGCTATAAGCCAGGTCATCTTCACTAGATACCCTGAAATTGTCCTACAGTGTGGTCCAATCATTAATTCAACAAAACCTTTTTGAACATATGCTACGTACCTAGAACTGCTTTAGGTGTTGTGAATGAAGTAAGGGGCAAAGAAGAGTCCTGCCCACAACGAGAAAGGGAGATAGACCCTAACTAGAAGTATATTAGATGGTAAATAAAGCAGAATATGGACTCTGTAGGGTCTAGAGAAGGATGGGTGGGAGCACTTGTGATCGGAGAAGGTCCTGCAGGTAGAGCAGCACTTCAGCGTAGACTTTGTGGAAGTAAGGGGGTGAACAGTGGTGATGTCTGGGGGCAGTTTCAGGCAGGGGGACCTGCAGGAGCAGTGTGGGAGCATGGTTGGTGCCATCACAGAATGGTGAGTTGGCCAGTGAGGCTGGAGCAGAGGGAAGATGGGGCAGAGTGGAAGGAAATGAGTCCACAGAGGTAGTGAAGACTGAGAGATGGGGCAGGCCAGGCAGTGCCTTGTGAACCATGGTGGGGA